TGAACATCAGGCGCAGAGGTGAGAGCCTTCTCTTGTCCCAGAGCCAGCAGTGGCTCTTGGCAGGAGATTTCTTGGGAACTTGGCTGGTATCAGCAGCCCAGGGGCGTGGCTTGGAGAAATCGATTGGTCCTAAGTGATGCCATTAGCCCTGCAGGAAGGGGAGAGGTGGTGATGGGCTGGTGGGGGAGGATGGGCAGAGTCCATTTCTGCGTGCTTGTCCCAGCTGCCCAGTGTGTGATCAGTGCGTCTCTGTTAACAGAACGTCTGGGTACTTCTCTGAAGTATAGTCCAGAAAGTCCCTAGTACCTCCTCTTCTGCCCTGTGCTGGTCACTAGGGACAGGGGATTAACTCAGGTGATCCCATGGGGGACACAGGCATGTCAGCAGTGCTCACCTGGTGTGCCCAGGTACGGGTGAGGGACATGCAGGGCTGCAGGAGGCTGGGGAGACCTCTAACTAGGCCTGGGGGCCAGGGAGGCTCCCCGGAGGAGGTAACATCTGAGCGGGGACTCGGAGAATCAGGAGGTGTTGACCAGCTGAAGGGACAGCAAGCTCTGGGGAGGAGAGGCTGGGGGAGCAGTTGGGGTCAGATCCTGGTCATTTGCCTTTCAAAAAATTCACTCTGGGCCACAGTGGATCAGGCTTGTAATCTCAGCACTTTGGGAAGCTGAGGCAGGAAGATCATTTGAGGCCAGGAGTTTGAGACCAGGCACCATAGCAAGACCGTATGTCTACAGAATTTTCATTAAAAATTAGCCAGTCGTGGTGGTGCACAGCTATAGTCTCAGCTACCCGGGAGGCTGAGGCAGGAGGATCACTTGAGCCCAGGAGCTTGAGGTTGCAGTGAGCGAGGATGACACCACTGCACTCCAGCCTGGGTGACAGAGTGAGACCTTGTCTCTTACACAAAAAGTTCACTCTGGCTGCAGGTGACAGTTTGGATTGGAGGGACAGGACTGACAGCAGGGAGTCCGAAGGATTCCCTGGCGAGGGGAGAGATGAGCCTGGACCAGGAGAGTTGCTGTGGGGATGGTGAGAAAAGTGCCTCAAGGGGTGTTAGAAGCAGGTTGGGGGTAATGAGGAGGTCAGTGTGGCCTAGCTGGGCCTGCAGGGCCTGGGTGACAGCCCTGGAGACAGCCAGGAGCCGCCCGCTATCTGGATCAGAGGCAGAGACTGGGTGGCCTTGGCAGTGCCTGGTAACTAAAGCCGTGGGAGTGGATGAGATGGCCACAGCCGGAGAACACACAGAGGAAAGAGAAGAGGTTTGCACCTCAAAGAAGCCCCTACTGTTCCGGGCAGGATGAAAGTTCACCTGGGGGAGAGGAGACTCCAAGAGCCAGAGTCAGCTGAGTCCTGGGCCGAGATGTGACGCACAAGGTTCTACTTCCCTCTTTTCCAGGTTTGAGGTGGAATTTCCATTCCTGAGTCGACTGTGTGCGCAGTGGTGGCGGGGAGGGGCAGGCAGAGACCATGTGGGAACCAGCCCCAGGGCTGGAGGCCTGAAAAAGAAAGGTGCAGGCAGGGGAACGTGGTGTGGCCTCCTGCTTGCAGGACGTCCGCCTGCCACCTCAGTCACTGAGGATGCGCCCTCCTGGCCGCTCGTCCTCCCTGCCCCCAATCATGGGTTCTGTAGAGGTCAAGGCAAAGGCTTTCACAGGCAGAAACCAAGGCGCAGGGCAGAGCCTGAGTGTCCCCAACCACAGAGCAAGTCAGTGGCCACGGCAGGATGACTCCAGGCTTCTTCCTGCATCTCAGCGGCCTCCTCGCTTCCTGGAGAGGTGGGGCAGAGGTGGTGGCTGCCGGGGCTGCAGAGGTCCTAGTCCGGGGGGTGCACAGGGCGAGATCAGGCTCCCTGGCTGTGGACTTTGGCCCTCTACCCTCTCCAGAAGGCTGTGAATGTGGGAGTGCATATGTGGGCACACAAAGCTCCCCAAATCTTTTGGAGCATAGTAAAGCTGAGAGCACCCCCCCACCAGCCCCCACCCCCCAGCCTCCCAGCCCCACGGAGCTAAGCCAAGTGCAGCGGTGTCCCCACCCCATCCTTTCACCTGGGCTTGGCTTGGCTTGGCTCAGAGGGCCCCCAGCGGCTGCTCCATATTCCACAAGCCTCCCCAGGGCTCCCTGGGACAGAGGCTGCACCGGACACTTCGCAGCACCCAGCAGGCCCTGGGCCCTTCGGGATTCCCAGCAAGCCCCTGAAGCATGCTCCCCCTCAGACGGGAGCTGTAACCCCTGTGCTGAGGTTAGATTAGCATCTGGCAGTGGTGTTGGGGGGAGCGGGTGGAGGGATAGGCAGAGGCCCTGAGTGACGCCCAGAGGTGGGAGAAGTGAGTGGGCCTGAAGGCCAGCGTGCCCCTCCAGTGCAGCCCTGGGCACTAGAGAGTGGCATTTTAGGAGCTCATCTCAAGGCCTCGACTCACTGGCCCCAGGAGGCATGCTGTGACCTCCCTGCACCCTTGCCAGTGCCCAGAGCCCCCTGTCCTCCCTCTGTCGTGAACCACACGTAACGATACGAGCTCACTGTGATGGTTGCCGGAATCTGCAAACTTTCCCTCGAAAGGGCCAGACAGTAAGCATTTTCGGCTTTGTAGGCCATATGGTCTCTGTGGCAACCACTCAGCTCTGCAGCTACAGTTAAAGCAGTCACAGACAATACATAAATGAATGAGTGTGGCCGTGCCCAGTGAAACTTTATTTATAAACACCAAAATTCGACTTTCATATAATTTTTATGTGTAGCAAGATATTTTTGGTGTTTTTTTCCGCAACCATTTAAAAATGTAAAGACTATTCTTAGCTTGTGGGCTGCACAAAAATAGGTGATAGGTCGGATTTGGCAGGCCCGTGGGCTACAGTTTGCCACCTCCTGGGTTAGTGCATGACCTCTGGAATGAGACTGCCTAGGTATGAATTCTGGCCTTGCTGTGTGACCTTTGGTAAGTGGCTAAACCTTTCTGTGCTTCAGATTTCTCATCTATAAAATGAGAAGATAATGATAATACTTTGGAAATGTAAAATGACACAGCCACTTTGGAAAATAGTTTGGCAGGTCCTCAAAAGGTTAAACAGAACAGATCATATGACTGAGCAATTCTACCCCAAAGTATGTACCCAAGAGAAATGAAAACATGTCCTCACACAAAAACTCATTCATAGAAGCATTATTCATAACAACCAAAAAGTGGTAACTACTCGAATGTCTATGAGCTGATGAATGGGTAAACACAATATGGTGTACCCATGCAATTGAATATCATTCAGCGATAAGAAGGAATGAAGTACTGATGTATGCTACAGCGTGGATGGGCCTTGAAAACATCGTGCTAAGTGAAAGAAGACACAAAAGGCCACATGCTATATGATTCCATTTATATGAAATCTCTAGAGCAGGCATATCTGTAGACACAGAAAGTAGATTAGTGGTTGCCAAGGGCTGGGGGGCGGGGCTACGGCGATGGGGGAGGGACTGCTAATGCATGTGGGGGATTTTGTGAGGCTGATGAAAATGGTTTGGAATTAGATAGTGGTGAAGGTTATATAACTTTGTGAATATACAAAAGATTGAATACTGTATATTAAATACTGAAATGTATACTTTAAAACGGTGAATTTTATGGCATGTAAATTATATCTCAATTTTAAAAATGGTAATACTTCATAGGGTCACTGTTAGAGCGAATGCACGGAAGGTGCTTAGAGCAGTACCTGGTGGTCCCCTGAGGGGGACAGGTCACTGTGTCCTGCTCAGATTGTCTCCAGGGCCCAGGACAGGTCCTAGTACAGAACACAGGACTTCGAGTTTCTGGAGTCCCACAGACCCGGGGTTGAGTCCTGACACCTCGGAGTAGCTGTGCACCTCTGTGCGAATGATTTTTCTGCTCTGGGCCCCAGGTTCCTCCTCTGCAAAATGGAATAATGACAATAACTACCTCGTAATGGTGGTGACGATCAGGTTCTACCGATATTCAGAGTGTGTCAGGTGCCCCGAGCCAATTGCCACCTGGTCACACTTGACCAACACGGGCCCAGGAGGCTGAGTCCTCTGCAGGTATCTCCAGGGCACCAGACAGGCTGGGGCAGGTGCCCCTGGCGGTGACAATTCAAGCTGCTGTTGCTGCACCACTCTCCCGCAGACCCCACCAGGCTGGGGCTCCAGGTGCCCGGATGAATGGACACTTTGGAACACTGGAGCAGATTCCTAGATCAACCACACCCGGCTAAGTGGCTGCAGGCCGGGCATTGCCCCTTCCTCTCTCTGAGCCTCAGTTTGTTGAACTGTCAAGTGGGTTTAGGACACGGTACGTGCCACTTCGTGTGATTGTGATGATGAGATGGAACAGGAAATGTAAAGTGTTCATGCAGTGCCTGGTATATTTTATGTGTTCAATACCGTCGGCTTTTACGATAATTGTTTTAAAATGTTTATTTTGAGAGTCTGTGTACTAGGCACTTCTAGTTACTGAGGATACATCAGAGAATAAAACAGACAAAAATCCTTTTCTTCATGCAAATTACATTATAGTGGGGTAGGCAGACAAGAAACAAAATAAGTTATATTTAAGAACATAATTGAGAAAATAAAGCTGAGAATGTGAGAGGGATCTGAAGGAATGTGGGAAGAGGGTGCAGTTTTACAGAAGGCGATCTGGGAAAGCCTCATTGAGAAAAGAACATTTGGGCAAAGACCTGAGGAGAGGATGGGAAAGAGGGAGCCATGCAGGTTTCTAAGGGAAGAGCATGCCAGGCAGAAGAAACAGCTGCATGCCAGGCAAGGGTGAAGAACATGAAGGAGGTCAGTGCGGCTGGAGGGGAAAGCATAGGGAGGATAAGGTCATGGGTAGGAGGAGGCAGGGGTCAAGTCCTTGGGGACCTGCAGGGTGGGCCTGTGATTCCAGGTGAGACCCGGACCCACTGCAGCGGTTTGAGCAGGGATGACCCACCCTGGCCTGGGCTGCAATGACTTCTTCCCCTGCCTCACAGCCCTGCGCTTCCTCCCACAGGAGCAGCCGGGGGCCTCCATGGGCGCCTGAGGGCTGGGCGCCAGGGCCGCGGGCACGAGCATGGTGAGACACCAGCCCCTGCAGTACTACGAGCCACAGCTGTGCCTCTCCTGCCTCACGGGCATCTACGGCTGCCGCTGGAAGCGCTACCAGCGCTCCCACGATGACACCACACCGGTGAGCCACCCTGGGACCGGGCCAAAGGGACGCAGTGCTCCCTAGTGAGCCTGAGGGGCTCTCGGAGGGGTCTTAGTGCTGTCTCTTCTGTGTGGCGCTGGCCAGGTCAAAGACCTTTCTGGGCTTCAGTTTCTCTCTCTGTAAAATGGAGTCCATTTTACATTCCTGAATCCATCTGACCAGGGGGGCGAGGAAGGAGCGCATCCCCTCACCCTCTGACCGTGGGGGGCTGGGCTGCTCCCGAGGTCTGGGCTGGGAGGGGCGCTCCAGGAGGGAGAGGTCACCCCCAGGTGAGCAGTTCTCAGCTTCCTGGCCGGGCGGTGGAGGAGAGGGTGAGGAGGTGGGCCCGGCCATCCTGGAGCCTGGGAGCTGGCAGGGCCACGGCCTGGCAGCGGGGCCGTCACCTGAGCTGCAGGCCTGCCAGGGCTGGCAGCAGGTGCTCTCCGTCAGCGCCAGCGTCAGCGCGGGCTCCCAGGCCAGACCTGAGCTGCACTCCCCAAGCCGCGTCGTCCCTGGGGCGCTGTCAGCCGGTGGATCTGGTTTCTTCTCTGAAGGAACCCAATTCTTATGTGGTGTTTATCTAAAAGCTTTGCTGTCTGGGGAAAACTTTCCTCCTCCCTCCTGCTTGTCTGAACAAAGCAGACAGCCTCCAAATTCAGCCAGCCCCAAAACAGGCTGGAGTCGTCAAGGGGTCGCAGCTGAGGTTGGAGGCCCAGGAGGCCGGGCTGTCCGGAGGGGGTGGCCGGAGAAGCTTGTCCACCTGTCTGTCCTCCTCTGCCTATGCTGGTGGGGGACGGAGCCTAGGTTGCTGACCCCTAAATGGTGAGAAGCAGGAACCACCAGGGTGGGCACCAGGCCTGATTCGTTGCCGTGTCCCCACTCCCAGCACAGAGGAGCAACGTGGCCAAACTGAGGCCAAGGAGGACGGGCCATACAAGGCCCCGGGGGCCCAGTCTCTACCCCAAGCCTCTTCCAGGGAGCCCTTTGGGCACCATGTGTTACAGCCTCTCCTGTGGACACAGGATCCCCCACAGGGTGCAGGCCATGGGCTCTGGGGCCAGGGGGACTTAAGCTCCAATGGCACCTGCTTGGTTGCCTGTGAGCTCCCTCGCCTGTGAGCTGGAGGGGCTAACACCGCCCTCTCAAGGAGCCACTGGGCTGACCCAGGAGATGAGGGGTGTTAGGTGACCAGCACAGTGCCAGCTGTGACTAACCATTGAGACAAGTCATTCCGGATGCCCGAGCCTCGGCTTCTCTGTCTCTGGAATGGGAGAAGGGCTGGGTTCGTGACTTCAGAATTCCTTTGCTTTGCCCCCTGCTCTATTCTCCACGGGGCAGGCAGCAGGCCTCCCTTGCCCTGGCCCTCCTGTGTGCCGAAAGGCAGGAGCTCAGCGGTGGCCGGGACGCCGTGTGTTCTGTGAGCCCGCTCTGTGCTGGGCACTGACACTTGGCACTCGTGTTCCTCCCAACGAGCTGTGAGCCATGATGGGCAAATGGAAGCCAGGGGCAGGAGTGACTGGGCCAAGGTCACATAGCTGCGAGGGGCAGGGCCCAGATCTGGACCTGAGGGTACAGGTCCAGCAGCCACTGGTGGGGATGGGGGTGTGGAGACACTGAGGCCACAGGGAGGAGAAGGATGGCTGGGGTGCTAGGCAGAAGGCCCCTTGGCCATCAGGGCAGATGCGGAGGAAGGCGTATCTCCCAGGATGTCTCACTCCCTTGGTGGGCCCAGGGCCAGCCAGTCCTAGGCCAGGGAGTCAGGAGGTGACAGGTCTTGGCTGCAGCCCACAGAAGGTGAGCCAGGTCTGGTTTTGAGCTGACTGGGAACCAGAGCAGGGTGGGCCCTGCAAGGCCAGGGTCTAGCGCACGGGTCTGGAGGGGTAGTGGGGGGCCACGAGCCTGGCTGGGAGAGGGGACAGGGCTTTGCAGCAGCTCTCGGTGGCAGTGCCTCTGCAGAAATGGCTGAGCTTACCTCAGGTGACCCCAAACCCAGCTGAAGATGAACACTGCCTGCTCCCCGCTTCCCCGCCCTGTTCTCCCCCACTCACTCACCCAGCTCCCGCCCCCTTCTCCTCCCACTTCCTGGGCTCCCAGCGTCTGCCCTCACCCTTTCTCTCTCCCCAGCTCCCTGTGGCAGTGACGGCTGGGCTCTCTGGCCTGGCACAGTGAAAGAAGAGCGACCTGGTTTCTCAAAGACAGGGCTGTGCAGAGCAGGGAACTCCGTAACCTTTGCTAAACAAATAGATGCTGGTAGGGAGAGGAGAGCAGCGGGCTTGGGGGTGGTGGAGGGCCTGGGCCTGGGCCTCTCCTCATTCTCACCTCTTCTTCCTCTGGGGACTCTTCCCCTGCAGCTCCCGACTCAGAGAAGCCTGGGTTCAAGTGCTTCTGTGAAGCCCGACCTCCCAGGGTCTATCTGTGAAATGGGGTGACAGACAGGTGGGTGAGTCACAGAGGCATTTCATTCTCATCCTTGGGCTGGAAAATGAAGTGTGAGGCTAAAAGTAAGAGTTACTGTGCATTAAGTACCTACTGTACGCAGGGAGCAAATGGTTTACAAATGCATACATGCATTTCCCTGCTAATTGTTTTAACATGCCCATGGGGCATGTTTCATTGTGTGCCTGCAAGGCTTAGAACCCTCCCTGGAAAGCCCAGGATGGATTTGCTGCACAAGCCTCAGGAGGCTGGAGGCTAGGGGAGAGGCCATGTGCTGAGGATGTGTGGCTTTATTAGGTTTTTTATTTTTTATTTTTTTTAAAGATGGGGTCTCACTGTGTCACCCAGGCTGGAGTAGTGCAGTGGTGTGATCATAGCTCACTGCAGCCTCAAACTCTTGGGCTCAAGCACTTCTGGCTCAGCCTCCTGAGTAGCTGGGACTACAGATGTACACTACCATGCCCAGCTAATTTTTAAATTTTTTGTAGAGATGGGGTCTCACTATGTTGCCCAGGCTGGTCTTGAACTCCTGGGCTCAAGCGATCCTCCCACCTCAGCCTCCCAAAGTGTTGGGATTACAGGCACGAGCCCCAGCACCCGGCTTGTTGAAGGTGTGTGTGTTTCGATGAGAGCTTGCTGGAAGGAGAAGAAAGGAGGCCCAGGGAGGAGGATTTGGGGAGTTGCGTGATGGGTGAGAAGAAGAACTGGACCAGGACTATTTGGGACAAGACAAGGAATGTCCTTGAATGCCAGGCTAGGCACCCTCAGGGATTCCCTGGTTGGGATCCAGCCCTGCCATGATGAGGTGGGTCTTGGGAAGTACGGAGGGTAGGTGGGGTGCTTAGGAAGGAGCTCCCACCTCCCCACCCATGTTGGCCTCCCCCTTCCTGCCCTGCCAGCCTGCTACAGCCCCACCTCTTCCCAGCCTTGGCCCACACTGCCCCCGCCCCCCAGAACACACACTTGACAGTGTAAGGAAGCAGGAGGTGACATGGCCTCTTCTCCTGCCCCAGCACTGAGGAGTGGAGGAGTCTGGCAGCAGGAGGCTTCTGGCTCAACAGCCAGGAAGGGGAAGCAGAGCTTTTCATAACTGGGGATAATTAATTGGTTGTTGTCTGTGACTCATTACTCTAATACTGCCAATTAAGGACTTGGTAGGACAGAAGACTGTTCTCAGGCCATCCCCACGGGTTCCCTGAAGACTGTGTGTCTGCGGGAGGCAGCACAGTGTCAAAACCAGCTTCTCTGTTGCAAGAGAGATATAGGTCAGATGCCTGGAGGAACTTCCCAGCCAGAGACATGAATGAGACAGACTGTGACGGTCAGCTGTCTGGCACTTCTACAGTACACGTGTGGCATGGAGGCTGGCATGATCTTAATTGATCCCCCCATCTAGAGATGGGGCTCCAGGAACAGTAAGTGATTTCTTCAATCCGAGAGTCTGAGGCACAGCCCACTCTGCCCCCTGCTTCCATGCCCAGGCCTGTGCCCTCTCTCGTATTCCACACCAGTCTTGTCTGGGGTGCAGGGAGTTACTTATTCAATCAACAAACCTGCCCTGCTACCTGCTCTGGGTTCGGGGGTCATAGGTATATCAGACCCAGTTCTCCCCTGCCTTGAAGGGCTTCCAGGCTGGTGGGGGAGCAGACAGGAACAGACACACCCAGACCACCCAGGGTGATCACTTCAGAGGCCCAGGGAAACCCCAGCATGGGAAAGCTTGCCTGAGCTGGCCTGCTAGAGGGTTAGCCCCATCTCGCCAGAGTGGGGAAGTACTCAAGGCAAGGGAAACTGTGGGTACAAGAGAGTGCCTTGTGTTTGGGAACTGAAAGTAATTCCACCCAGTGTGGCTCAAGTGGGTGGCAGGGGTGTGTGTGTGTGTGTGTTGTCAAGTGGGCCGGGGCCTCGGAGCTGTGCAGAGGAGCCTGGACTTCAGCCTGGGTGGTGGCGGCCCGGAGTCAGACTCAGGCCAAGCAAGGACCACTGTGGTTAAATCGCAAATGATCCCAGGGTCTTGAGTGGAGGTGGGGAGGGCCAGGGAGCCAGAGGGGAAAGGCTGAGGCCTGGCAGGGGCTGCGGGGGGATGCAAGGGGAGGGATTCCAGAGACACCAATAATCAGAGACACGTGTCATCAACAGACTGTGTTGAGATTGAGAGAAAGGAGTCTCTGATGACTCCCATCACCCCACGGTTTCCAGCCTGGGTGGTGGAGGCCGTTCCTGGAGATAGGAAACCTTGCTGCACCCCAGGAGTAGGTGAGAGGAGAGTGGTCTCAGTAGAGCCCAGGAATAGCACCGTGGGGGTGGGTGGAACCGACAAATGAGCCTCCCTAGCCTCAGTGGCCTGCTTCCTATGATGAGATGTGATGGGAGCAACTCCTGCCACCCTGCCAGGCAGGAAGACACCTGCTGTGGGAAATCCATCCCCACCTCTTCTGCCCCTTGCCCTTTACACCTCCATGCCAGCCATGCCGGGCTTCTCCCCATTCCCAGGATAGCCCCACCCTTCGTGGCACCAAGTCTTTGCTCCTGCCAGCCCTCTGGCTGGAATGCCCTTGCTCTCT